TCCTGGGCTTTGTGGTGTTGTAAGATGTTTCCAGCATTTGTAACAAAGACAACAGGTACTCGCAACTGACCCTGGGAGTTGACCAGCTTGCGGAACGCTTCCACAGCAGCGGGGATCACCTTGTGGCCCCGCACTAGCACGCCATCGATGTCCAAGAGGAACCCAAAAGTGGGCGGGCTCTGTACAGAGGGCAGGAGAAGACAGTGATCACCATGTGAGCCAAGGGACAGGAGGGGAGGGAGGAAAAAGAAACACACTATCCTTACAAAGAGGCTCACCCCATTCACCCTTGGCCTCGGAAAATGACATCAGGAAGAAACAAACAAAAAGGAGAAACATGGTGTTTCTGGTAGGACAAATCCATCTGTAACAAGGAAGTTTTGCTTTTTCATTTTGTTAAGCCATGTAACTTTGTTACATTTTCATAGCATTGATGTGAAGCAATTTTTAAATTGGAAAAGTGAGAAACTAAAAGCAAACATAATCCAAGCACTGTAACACAACCACTTAATATTTTTCATTATTTTTTCTCGATTCATGTTATTCATATAGCTACAGCTACACTTTATATAGACTCCTGGTGTGGTACTGTTGGATCAGAACTGGACTGTGAACCACAATGTCGGCGGTTCAAACTTAACCAGCTGCTCTTCAGAAACTCTACATAGGGTTACTATGTAGTCAGAACCAACTCAATGGCATTTGATGATGATACTTTATATATGAAATTTTTCATCTTGTTCTTTGTGTAATATATGAGAAGCATTTTTATCTACTACAATAGTCTTTAAGGTGTTGGGTGCCGTGGAGACCATTCTGACCCCTAGGGACACCATGTGACCGATCAGAAGCAGACTGCCAGGGCTTCCTCCCATGCAGACTCTGGAAAGGTTTGAACCATCAACCTTTTTGGTTAGCTGCCAAGCACTTAATGGTCATACCACCCAGTCTCCTTCAGTCTTTATAGACATATTTAATTTTTTTTTTCTAACTCACAACAAAAGACAAAAATTCAACCACTACAGAGGATATCATTTTTATTTTTAAAGTTTGTTGCCTCTTTTTTTCCACCTAGTTATATCCTACTACCTCTCTTGTCTATTTTTCCAAAAACTTTTAACGGTTATATGTTGTTGTTGTTTGGTACTATCAAGTCGGTTACCCCATCCTACGTCATCCTCACAATTGTAATGTTTGAGCCAACTATTGGAACCACTGTTGTCAATCCACGTTATGAGGGACTTCCTCTTTTTCGCTGACCTTTTACTTTACCAAGCATGGCATCCTTCTCCAGGGACTGGTTCCTCTTGATCATGTGTCCAAAGTATGTGTGACAAAGTCCCAACATCTTTGCTTCTAAGAAGCATTTGGGCTGTGCTTCTTCCAAAACAGATTTGCTCATTCTTCTGGCACTCCTTCGTATATTCAATTATCTTCACCAACACAGTAATTCAAATGTATCAATTCTTCTCCAGTCTTCCTTATTCACTTCCCAGCTTTCCCATGAATGAGGCAATTGAAAATGCCATGGCTTGGATCAGGTGTATTTTCATCTTCAAAATGACATCTTTGCTTTTTAATAAAGAGAAGAAAAAAAAAAAAAAACTTTAGCGAGGTCTTTCAAAGCAGTTTGACCAGCGCAATATGTCCTTTGATTTTTTGACTCTTGCTTCCATGGGCATGGGATCCAAGTATATACTTAGCTATATAGTCTGCAACTTTTAAAAAATCTTTTAACTACACACAAGACAAACACACAAAATGAAATCATGTTGCACTTTTTCCACATCTTTTTTGGTACAGTCAGGTGAATGTTGGGCTGCTAACCACAAGATCTGAGGTTCAAACCCACAAGCCATTCCTTGAGAGAAAGATTAGACCACCTGCTCCTGTAGAGATTTACAAGCTTCAAGTCCTGCAGAGCAGTTCTACTCTATCCCATGGGCCACTCAGAGTCGGAACTGACTTGATGGCTGTGAGTATAGCTTAACTCTCTCTGTGGATCCAAGTTAAATGAAATCTTGACAGATTCAATACGTTTTCATAGTGTTGCTTATTGGTCCACTGTACCGATTTTTGCTTTCTTTATGCTGAGGTAGCATCCATACTGAAGGCTGCAGGTTTTGACTACATGAGTGTTTCAAGTCTGCTTCACTTTTAGCAAGCAAGGTTGTGACATCTGCACAGCCTAGGTTGTTAATGAGTCTTCCTCCAATCTTGATGCCACATTCTTCTTTATATAGTCCAACTTCTCCAATTATTTGTTCAGCATACAGACTAAGTAAGTACAGTAAAAGGATACATCCCTCATGCATACTTTTCCTGACTCTAAACCACGCAGTATACACTTGTCCTTTTTGAACTCTCTGGTCTGTGCACAGGTTCTGCATGTGCACAACTGTTTTGGAATTTCCATTCTTCACAACATTATCTATAAGCTGTTATGACCCACGTAACTGAAGTCCTGGTGTGACGCTGCAGGTTAATGTGATGGACTGCAAGATCAGTTGTAGTTGGTTTGAACCACAAGGTCGGCGGTTCAAGCTCACCAGCTGCTCCTTAGAAACCCTATACAGGATCGCTATGAGTCGGAACAACAACAAACAGTTGAATGCCTTTGCATAGTCAATAAGGCACAGGCTATGAAAGAGCCCTGGTAAGGCAGTGATTAAATGGTTGGCTGCTACTAACCAAAAGGTCAGCACTTTGAACCTACCAGCAGCTCCACAGGAGAAAATATTAGAACAGTCTACTTCTATAAAGATTACAGAATCAGAAACCCTATGAGCTAGCTCTATTCTATCTTCATCAACTTGAAACAAAAGATTACAAGAGCCTGCAGCAGGAGTACCTAATCCACAGTGGGCCACACCAGTCTCAGAGGTCAATCTAAGGCATTTGAAACAAGAAAGAAGCAGCATCAGACCTGTACTAGAGAACAATTTTAGCTGCAGAGAGAATGGGCATAGGAGAGACAAGTTGGGTGGAGCCAGCTGGAACCAACTGCCGTCCAAGAAAGAGGATGGGGCTTTACCTATGTAAGAGATGAGGAAGGAGAACAGCTAGGATTTGGTAAGCATTCAGATGCAGGGGCTCAGAGGACTCACCACAGGAGGGAACAGGGCAGGGGAGGCCCAGAAGATGAGTCCTGCTGAGGACCTGTAGGACAAGCACTGGAAGGAAGGTTCTGAAGATGGCGGTTAGAAAGTCTCTGTTATCAGAGAGCAACTGCAAACTTGGCAGGAGTGAGGAGAGCCTGTAAAATACACGCAGAGTGAGAGCAGGACTGAGACTCATAGCAGGTCTGGAAGATCCCGTGTAAGAGCTGCCTGCAATAGAGCACAAGACTGAGGAGCATGGGCACTGTGAGGAAGAAAACCAAGAGTGGGTGGAGTCAGATGAATTGAAAATTTATATCTACACAAAACCTGCCCATGAATGTTTAAAGCAGCTTTATTCATAATTGTTGAAAAATTTGGAAGCAGCCAAAATGCCCTTCAATTTAAGTGAATGGATAAACAAACTGTTTGTACTTCCATACAACAGAGTATTATTCAGTATAAAAAGAAATGAATTATCAAGCCATGAAAAGATCAGGAGGAACCTACTGAAATGCACGCTACTAAGTAAAAGGATTTCTGATGTGGCACTGTGCGCTAATGTGCTGGACTGCAAAGTCAGTTGTAACTGCAAGGTCAGCAGTTCAAATTCACGAGTCGCTCCTTGGAAACCCTATACAGGGTTGCTATGGGTCAGAACTGACTCGATGGCACTTAACAACAAGTGAAAGGAGGGTATTGTGGGTTACTGTGCTGGACTGCAAGGTCAGTTTGAACTGCAAGGTTGGTGGTTCAAACTCACCAGCTGCTCCTTGGAAATCCCATATAGGGTCACTATGAGTTGGAACCAACTCGACTCAACAGTACTTAACAACAACAACAAAATGAAAGAAGATGGTCTGAAAAACCTACATACTGAACGATTACAACTATATGACATTCTGGAATAGACAGAACTAAAGAGGCAGTAAGATGATCTATGATCTCTTATCAGTCTACATTTCCTAGACTCACAAAGTTGAAAAGGTGAAGCACGTGGTATTTTTACAGTAGTTTTAAAATTGTGTTTACTATTCTTTATGATAAAGAGCTCTGGTAGTGTAGTGATTATGAGTCAGGCTGCTAACCTCAAGGTCAGCAGTTAGAAACTATCAGCTGTTCCGCCAGAGAAAGAAGAGGCTTTCTGCTCATGTAAAGATTTACAGCCTCGGAAACCCTGTACAGGGTTACTATTAGTCAGAACCAACTACACAGCACACAACCACCACCATTCTTAATGATGCACAAGGACAAGGCTGTCTGCTCCCACAAAGATTTACAGTTTTGGAAGCCCACTCTGAGTCAGAATCAACTCAGTGGCGGTGGGTTGTTTCCCTGTTAGTTTTGTTTTAATCCTGTATGATACTGCAATGGTGGATACATGACATTATGCGTTCCCCAAAACCTACAGAACTATACAAGACAAAGAGTGAGCCTAGTGTGAACTATGAACTTTAGTCAGTTAACAATAATGCATCAGCAGTGCTTGCTCAGCAGTAACAAATACACACTTAACTGGAATGCAAGATGGATAGTAACAAGAGAAACAGTGGGTGGCGGAAAGGAAGGAAGTACATGGGAACGCTCTACACTTTCTGCACAATTTTTCTGTAAATTTGAAACTAATCTTAAAAACAAAGCCTATTAGAAAGAAAAACACATAGAGGAACTGGTTCCGCTACGCTGGTGTGTGCAGAGCCTCCCAATCTGAGACAATGACAATGGCTGCTACAGTACAGGTGGGAAGGGCCACTGGAAAAGCTAGAAGGAAGCCACTCTAACCAACAAGCTACCAGAAAACTGAGCTGCCAGAGGGAAACTCATCAAGTCCCAGGTGTCAGGCAGGAAATGCTTAAATAAACCGTGCCTCTACCTCTTGGTTCCAACAGCTGATCCTACTGCACCCTGGCCAGTAAGATTTTTTTTCTGGGACTTGAGAGAGGTGGCTGATGATAAATACTAGTAAAACATCTACCATTTGCTGGCCACTGAGATAGACATATAACCAAGCTTTCAAGATTTAATGGTTGCAGCCAAACCAAACCAAACCAAACTCACTGGTGTCGAGTTAATTCCAACTCAAAGCAACCCTACAAGGCAGAGGAGACCCACCTCACAGGGTATGCAAGGATGTACATCTTTATAAAAGCAGACTGTCATATC